GGGGGGGGGTTTGAAAAGAAAATAAAATAAATAAAAAAATAATTTGCAATTAACTTACCTGGGCGACGAACTTAACCGTCTCACCGCGGTCCCACCGCGGTCGCGGTGAATTGAAGAACGTGAGGCAGAATACATGCCTCTCACCGCGGTCGCGGTGGGTTGAACGAATTTGAGGCAGAATGCTCGCCTCTCACCGCGGTCGAGCCGCGGTCGCGAGGATTTTTTTTATATATATAGGAAGGTACAGAGAAAACGAAAACAACAACATTCGTGGGTTGCCTCCCACACAGCGCCTGATTTAACGTCGCGGCACGACGCAGGCTAGGATCATCACTCCTCATTCGCGCATTGGGGCTCTTCCAACGTTATTATCTCTCTATTCCCTTTCTCATCTGCCATTCCAAGGTAATGTTTCAACCTTTGCCCATTCACTGTGAATTTATTCGTCCCATTTTCTGATTCAATCTCAACAACTCCACTTGGGAACATTTGCACCACTCTGAAGGGTCCTGACCATCGGGACTTCAACTTACCCGAAAACAATCTCAATCTGGAGTTGTATAACAACTCTAGCTCTCCGGATTTGAAGTTTCGCTCCACGATGTGCTTGTCATGCATTAGTTTCATCCGTTCTTTGTATAATCTAGCACTCTCGAATGCCTGGAACCTGAATTCCTCTAGCTCATATAACCCAGTGACTCTGTTAGTGCCTGCTGTCTCCATGTCCAAGTTCAACTACCGTAATGCCCAAAGTGCTTTATGATCGAGCCGGAAGGTGGCATGCCTTTCCAAACACCAACTTGTACGGTGACATACCAATTGGGGTTTTGAAGGCTGCGCGGTACGCCCACAATGCATCATCCAGCTTCTTTGCCCAATCAGTCCTTGTTGCATTCACTTTTTTTGTAAGGACACTTTTAATCTCCCTATTGGACACTTTAACTTGTCCGCTTGACTGTGGGTGGTACGGGGTGGTCACTTTATGACGAACTCCATACTTTTCCAACAGCCGTGCGAACGCTCTATTGCAGAAATGGGTTCCACCATCACTGAGTATAGCTATCGGGGTGCCAAAGCATGTGAAAATGTTCTTCTTTAGAAAGCCTGTTACCTCTTTAGCATCATTGGTCGGGAGACCACTGCTTCGACCCACTTAGAGACGTAGTCAACTGCTACCAATATGTACTTGTTACCATACGATCTGACAAATGGCCCCATGAAGTCGATCCCCGACATGTCAAAAACCTCCACCTCTTGAATTGCGGTCATTGGCATCTCGTGTCGGCGAGATATGTTACCCGTCATTTGGCATTCATCACAACTTTTTACCCAAGCATGGGAATCCTTAAACAGAGTTGGCCAATACAAGCCCGACTCCAACACCTTAGCTGCTGTCCGAATTCCTCCAAAGTGTCCACCATATGGTGAAGCATGGCAAGCCTACAAAACAGAATGTTGATCTTTCTCGGGGATACATCGCCGGATCATGTTATCTACACATATTCTAAACAGTAGAGGTTCATCCCAATAATAAGACCGACAATCACGAAAAAACTTTTTCTTTTGAATTGAGGAGAGTTCATAAGGTACAATACCACTTGCTAAATAATTAGCAATATCAGCATACCACGGTGCCTCCTCCATTGTCATTGCTAGTAACTGTTCATCCAGGAATGTCTATGTTATATCCTCAACCTCTACCTTCTTTTCAGCTCCTTCCAACCTTGAGAGGTGGTCAGTTACTTGGTTCTCTGTCCCTTTTCTGTCACGTTTCTCCAGATCTAATTCTTGCAACAAAAGAACCCAGCGAATCAAGCGTGGCTTTGACTCCTTCTTTTCTATCAGGTACCTAATTGCTGCATGGTTAGTGTAAACAATAACTTTCGAGCCAATCAAGTATGACCTGAATTTGTCGAATGCAAAAACGACAGCCAACATCTCCTTTTTCGTCACGGTGTAATTGAGTTGTGCACCGCTTAACGTTCTGCTTGCATAGTAAATCGGGTGCATCAGTTTATCCTTTCGCTGCCCCAAGACTGCTCCTATAGCATAGTCACTTGCGTCGCACATGAGCTCAAACGGTTGCTCCCAGTTGGGTGCAGTCACCAATCTTTTCTTCAACTCCTCAAATGCCAACCTGCAATCATTAGAAAACACAAAGGGGTGATCCTTTTCAAGGAGTTTGCATAAGGGGTTAGCAATCTTAGAGAAATCTTTTATGAATCGCTTGTAGAACCGGCGTGCCCAAGGAAACTTCTCACCGCCTTGACTGATGTAGGCGGTGGCAACTTCTCAATCACGTCAACCTTAGCATGGTCAACCTCGATTCCCTTACTGCACACTCGATGCCCCAAGACTATCTTGTACCATAAAATGGCACTTTTCCCAGTTCAGCACTAAATTTGTCTCCATACATCTTCTGAGCACTCTTCTTAAGTTGTGAAGACAGTCCTCGAATGAATCCCCCACCACAGAGAAATTATCCATAAAAACCTCCATAATTTCCTCCACCATGTCTGTGAAAACGGCTAACATGCACCGTTGAAATATCGCCGGTGCATTGCATAGCCCAAAAGGCATTCTCCGAAAGGCAAAGATGCCATACAGACAAGTGAATGATGTTTTCTCTCCGTCTTCAGGGGCTATTGAGATCTGATTATACCCCGAATATCCATTTAAGAAACAAAAGTGAGATCGCCCGGCCAGCCTATCCAACATTTGGTCAATTAATGGCAGGGGGAAGTGGTCCTTCTGGGTGGCTGTGTTCAATTTCTGGTAATCCATGCAAATCCGCCATCCCGTGACTGTACAAGTCGAGATTAACTCGTTATTCTCATTTTGTACGACCGTCATTCTTCCCTTTTTCGGCACGCATTGAACAGGGCTGACCCAATTGCTGTCAGAGATGGGGAAGATGATACCCCTATGTAACCATTTGATCACTTCCTTCTTCACCACCTCTTTCATATTTGGGTTCAGCCTTCGTTGATGTTCTCTGGAAGGTTTGTTCCCTTCTTCTAAGAGAATCTTGTGTATACAAAAAGCTGGGGTGATACCCTTTATGTCTGTCATGGTCCAACCGATGGCAGTCTTACATTCCTGTAGTACCTGTAAGAGCTGCTCTACCTGCACATCTAGCAAACCGGATGATATAATAACAGGCAAAGTAGAATCAGGCCCTAAGAAAATGTACCTGAGGTGAGCTGGGAGCGGTTTTAGCTCCAGTTTGGGTGGTTCCTCTACTGATGGTTTTGCCGGTGGTGTAGCCCTCTTTTCTAACTTAAGGGACTCGAACTGAGGTTCCCTCTTCCAGAATCCTTGGCCTTTGAGTGCCGTGACCCACTCAGCCAACCCTTCACCATCCATCTCCTCTAAATTTGTCAGGCAAGCCTCTAATGGATCTTTAGCAGTCAGGTTCACATCATCTTCATGCAGGATCACATCCACTGCCTCCACTAGGGAGCAATTAGCATATTCACTGGGTCTCCTCATGGATTGCTGAACATTGAATATGACTTCTTCATAGTTCAATCTCATTTTTAATTCCCCAGTTTCACAATCGCTCAGTGCTCTCCGAGTGGCTAAAAATGGCCTCCCTAAAATGATAGGTATCTCCTCATCTACCTGGCAATCCAGAATAACAAAGTCTATAGGAAACACAATCTTCCCCACTTGTACCAATACATCATCAAGAATACCTGTCAGCCTTTTAACCGTGCGGTCAGCCAGTTGCAAAAGCATCAAAGTCGGTCTAGCTCTGCCAATGCCCAGTTTGATATATATGGCTAGTGGCATCAAGTTTATGCTGGCTCCTAAGTCACATAGGCAAAGGCATAACTCCCAATAGTGCATGGAATAGTAAAGCTACCTGGGTCAGACATCTTTTGAGCCATGGGTCTTGTCACTATTGCACTGCATGTCTGTGTTAGAGTTACTGTGGATAGGTCCTGAAAATCAAACTTTCGTGACATTAGGTCCTTCATCATCTTTGCATAGCCTGGCATCTCCCTCAAAGCATCCATCAGAGGAATATTCAATTGAATTTGACGCAGCTTCTCCATGAATTTCCTGTATTGATCTTCCTTCTTTTGTTTTACCAAGCTTTGAGGGAATGGTGCAGGTATCACCCGTTGTGCACTGTTTGCTGGCTTTTCTCCGTTGGGTTTCTGTGGAACAAGAGGTACTACCTGTTCTGCAGCTTATTCATTCTCTTTAGCTTTACCCTTATCATCTTGAACCTGTTCAACCACCACTTTAGTAAGTTCTGCTGGTTCATCCACCTTTAATGGAACTGGAGTGGCTGGCGTAGTCTCTTTGCTGGCTTGTACAACTTCCTGCTCTCTATCTAAATCTCTCCCATTCCGGAGACTTACTGCCATCAGCTGATTCGGGTTTTGCTCCTTGGGGTTAATGTTTGTGTCTGCTGGCAATGTTCCTTGGGGGCGGTTGTTTAAGGCCATAGAAAGCTGCCCAAACTGAGTTTCAATGTTCTTTATTGCTGAGTCATGCACTGCCAACTTTTCCTGCATCTTACCATTTGTTCCAATGAGTTGTTGAAGCATAACCCTGATCTCTACCATGTTGTTATCTTGTTGCTGAGGAGGTGGCTGATATGCCAACTGTTGCTGCTTCTGCTGTGGATAGCCTTGTTGTCTCTGATATGGCACCATTTCGCCTTGGGGCTGCATACCTCCAGGTTGTGGCATGTTTGGTCTGTATTGCTGATTGGGTTCTGGTCTCCACTGCTGTCCTCCTTGTCTCTGACCCCCAAAGTTGTTGACATAATTCATATCCTCTCTTAACCCTTGATTGTCACCTTCTCCACTCCATGAACACACATAAGACTGATTAATGCAGGGTGTACACAGTCCTCCATTTGTTGTGTCAACAATATGCACTTGCTTTGTACCCATCTCATCAATCTTCTTTGTCAATATACTCATCTGAGTCATGAGTGTGGCTATGTTCTCTACATGCGAATTATTTGGGTCAAGAGGAACTAAATGCACTATTGGTGCCAGTGTTGTACCTCTCGTCATTCATCCCGAATTTTGGGACATCTTGTCAAGAAGGACTTTGCACTCGGTGAATGTCTTACTCAAAAATGCACCCCCAACTGAAGCATCCACATTGGCCTTTAGATTGTCAGCTAACCCCATGTAGAACCTCTGGCCGAGCATCTGGTTTGGAATACCAAGGTGGGGACACTTCACTAGTATCCCTTTGAATCTTTCCCAAGTTTCCTGCAAGGTCTCAGTATGCTGCTGCTTGTACTGCAATATTTCATCAATCTGCCTTGCAATCTTGTTGGGCGGGTAAAACTTATTCAGGAATTGCTTGACTAATTCCTCCCAGGTGACAATGGAATTTATTGGGAGCGAATTCAGCCAAGTCTAAGCTTCCCCAGTCACAGAGAACGGGAACAGTAACAACTTGATAGCTTCTGGGGTCACATTTGGCTGCCTTTGGGTCACACAAATCGATAGAATTTTTTTTAAGTGTTGTTGAGGGTCTTCAATGTGTGACCCGGAGAACCATCCCTTATTCTGCAGAAGATGCAACATGTTGTTGGTGATCTGGAATGTCTCCACTTGAATTGGGGGCACAGCTATGGCAGTGGCCAGGTTGTCAGCTGTCGGCTGTGCCCAATCATATAGTGCAGCTTCTGGCACAAGAGGTGCCACCACTCTGACGTTTGGGTCATCTTGCTCATCCCTGATGTTTCCGTTGACGTTCTCTGCGTCACCCATGTCAATTTCAAGTTGGTGTATTTGTTGTGATTGTTGGATCCTCTTATTAGCACGGTTTAATGCCCTGAATATTTTCTCGGGGTCTAAAAGTCCTTCAAGCAGTTCTCCAGTCCTCGAAGAATTTCTAGGCATACACCTGAATCCCACAAGGGTTCAAACGTGAGAATTTCAATGAAAAAAAAATTGTTCAACACCTTCGAAAATTGATCTAAACTAATAATTCTAACACTACTTCTAAGTTGTAATAAATAACATCGTTAATTCCCCGGCAACGTCGCCAAAATTTGATCACACCCAACTATTCCTTCTAAAAGACAAAACGGTCGCTGCAAATATAATCTTGTTTTAAGTCCGGAGTCGAATCCTCAGGGAATTAACCTATCTATTACAACTCTTGGCAATGCTATTATCAACTCAAACAATTTCCAGATGCAAGATTTTTATCAATACAGGTTGAGTTTTTGTTTAACTACTTCAAATGATATT